AAAAAAAAAAAAAAAAAAAAAAAAAAAAAAAAAAAAAAAAAAGTCAATAATTGAGGGGTCTGACCATGTAGGGAAGAAACAGAACTAGTTCCTCTTGTTGGATTGCTTTGACTAGAATTAGTAATAGAAAGCATGGAAACGGTATGAGAAAAGAATGTTGAAATGTTACCTTTCCTAAGCTGCTTTCTCACTTGAATTTCTTGTTTGATATTGTTGCCTATCCTAGTCCTATTGGAAGTTGGAACTTCTAACCTGGTAACATGATCAAAGAGGGAATTTGTAGACTAGTCCTGCAAAATAAGAGAAAGAATGTGCTATTATTTGAGTAACCATACAAACGTGAAACGCTTGTAACATCTTCATTTCTCTTTTTCCCAAGTCCCAAAATGCAACCATATATAACTCAGAGGAGGGGCTCTTTTGCCTCTGACCAGAAAAGCTAAACCTTCATTTCTATTTAGTTGTTGATGGGTAACCACTATAGAACATAACTACTATATACATGAGAGTTTTTTTGGTAGGACCAGAAAAAATGAACTGCCATTAGTTCATAACTTTCCAACCGCTAGATCTACATGAGAAATTATCTATTATGCATATTTTTTTAATATGATATGATTTAATCGGTGATAAGGTCCTATATGTATATATTACCTCAATATTAAGCTTTAGGAACCAGATATTAGGAAATCACTTGAAAATAAGTCACTTGTAAAAAGTACTTTCATCTCTGGAAGAAAGTGTTGTACTTTAACTTAACAATTGGTCTAGAAAATACTTCATTATAGTTTCTAACACCACTAGGCTTTGAGCAGATTTACTATCCGGTGTTCTCAATATAAGGTTTGCAACAATGGAATATTGATAATTCGATACTTCAAAAGAGAGGAAAAGAAAATTACTCTGCAAAAACATTGCACAAACAACAAAGTCACCACAACGAATAAATTTCTATTTACAGTACAAGTAAAGTTTTGTTTTTGGAGTGTACGAAGTGAAAATAGAAGAATGACGAGATCAAACCCAAATCAAGGTATTTTCCTATTATTCTTATCAAACAAAAGCAAAAGCATATGACTTACACACCACTCCATGTACAAAATTTAGAAAAAAAACATGAATCAAAAAATGGATTTTACTCACTTTCTGCAATTCCAATTATAAAAGATAAAAATGTCTGAACAAATTGTATCAATGGCGTTAGAACTAGAACACCAACTCTTCTTTCTTGGTTTCTGCCTCTTCCAATTTAATGATTTCTTCATTTGCAATGAGTTTTTCAGAAGACGGAAAAGATAACCTCCGGGATCTATTGCTTTCCACCTTTGCACCCACTTTTTCAGAAGATGGAAAAGATAACCTCCGAGCCTTTGTTGCTTCCTTGCCATTCGATGAAGGGGGTTTAACTGAGATTGGAGTTTTTGGTGTTTTCACAGCCTTGTTCGCCTGCTTGCTCTGATCTTTCTTCGGGCTAGTGAACTGAGGTGCAACCCGGCTCTCCCACGGGCGAGCAGCAATCCAGCGTTCCTTCCAACTCCAACCCCAATTAGCTTTGCCAAGTTCATCATTTCCCAACCCTTGGCTCTGACTACAATTCGCCCTCCACTGCACGGGGCTTGTTTTCTGAGTTTCTGTTGGATATGAAGGATAAAAGTAATGGCAATGAAAAAATTACAGAGCTACGTACTTGATGAGAAAAGGCATATGCCATAGCCCGCTCTCGTTTAACTGCTGCTTCTTCTCTTTGGTATATCCTTGAAAGAACTTCATCCATGGTTTCAGAGCCAGCGCACCATTCTACCTGTCATCCGCAAACTGTTATTTAATAGAGAAAAATATAGTGCATCTTGTTCAGCCTATCAAGACGCCCTGCCATCGGTGGAGCAGATTAGGAAGGAAAGGTATACAGAACAGTCAGGAAGAGCTTTCTTAGGGGAAAAGGCAGTACCAAAATCAGCATGCAGATTTTAAGCAACACATATAGAGAGTTGAGATAACAAAATGAGAAGTCATTAATTCAAAGAGAGCTTTTACGGGTTTAAGCTTTGTGAGATTTCAAGGTAACAAAACAAAGTTGAAAGCTAATAGAAAATCAAATTCTAGTCATGGGACAACCAGCTTATGTTGAACATAGAAAATATGATAACATGCCACATGGATGATAAAGATAATCACAATTTCTACTAACAATGTTCGATCATCTAAATTCTAATGTAACTTCAGGAGGAGACACCTTCCAAAGATTAATAAAGAAACTCAGGAATCATTATAAACTTTTAAGCTAAGAAAGCTACAGGGAAGCAAGGGACGTTACCTCTATGTCATGAAGCTTTGCCTCGAGTTTTTGTTGATTCTCTAGTTTCTTCTGTTTGATCCGCCCTTCTGTTACCATACAGAGCCTACGAGCTCTAATCTGCATTTGAAGATTGCACCATGAATGAAGAAGGTTCAACGTAGTTGTGGATTGCTTTTGGACAGGATAACCTTGGGTGAGTATCTGTAATCTTAATATCCCCTTCAAACGACGCAATGCTTTCCTCGCCTGTAACAGGTGAAATAAAACTTTTGTAATGCCTAAAACCATCAGCAACAGAGTAGTTATCTTTGTAGTAAATTGGGGTATACATGAAAATTCAAAGGGGCTGCTCCAGTCCCACGCCCCTAAATCAACCTGAACTTCCTGGAAGTTCAGCTAAATAATACCGGAAAAACAACATTCGTATATCATAAATGGTTTTTGTGTCTCCTGTTTAGTGTTTGCAAAGACAGTTTGATGCAGAATTGCCGAGGCAGCAAACAAAACAAATCTTGCACTATATATCTCAAGACATTCATGAACACAATGCCTAACTTAACCTACCTTGTATGCGCGAAATGCAGTTTGAATTCGAATTGCAGCTACATCCTCAATTGGCATATTAAGGGATCCATTCAATAAACTACTAGACCCCTTCCGTGTATTGTTCTTCACTTTTACACCATTTGACTTTGCAAGAGCTGAAGATTCCTGTTCCGAATCGTAATAAAAGAGAAGAAACACCATTGTCATACAAACATCAACCCTAAATACATATTGGTTTCAACTCTGCAAAGTTAATTAGAGAGCAATACGAAATTAAAAAGGTTATGTGGGTGTAAATCATGGTGTAACAAACACTAAGAAATACAAAATAGCTGGAAAAGTTCTATACCTTCACTGGCTTTGAACCGACCTTTACTTTCTTTAGTCTGAAAACCGTCTTAAACCAATTTCCAGAGCCCATTCCTGATAGTAAGAGTCTGTCCAACTTAGCATAACCCTGAAGCAATGCAGTGCATATAGGATCACCATCAGCATCAGAACATGGGAGATAAAATAAATAAATAAACTTTAAGAAAACAAAAATTTCATAAAGTCAACTATTTTTCGTTTCTTTCTTTCTTGCTTTCTTCCAGGAAAATCAATCCAACAGTCAACCATATCTTAATTCTTAACCGGCTATTGTGTCATCTTACAAACCATTCAGAACCCAATTAGTGAACACAGAATGACATAAAATGAACTGAATGAATGCAAAATTAACAACCAAAAACCAAATAATCTTCACCATTTTATTCATTCCTAAGGAAAAGCCATGAATTATAGCATATACTATACCATGCGCATCTAACTCACTTGCATATGAAACAAGAAAAAGAAACCATTTTCAACCAAATCAATCATAAACGGTTTCAACTCATTATTACTGAAAAAAGATCAACTTCACCCATATTATCAACGAGATCCGAGTGATTCCTCTCAAATAAGAAAATGGGCATCCACAGATCACCTTCCTAAAGTCAAAAAACGACAGCAAGGACAAGCAAAACGGAATCTGGGTAAGGAAGAAAAAGGAAGGAAACGACGTTACCAGAGGATGAATAAAACGTAGACGACGAAGTTTTGAGGAAATACTGGAAGTTGAGATTTCAGAGGAAAAGGAAAGGGGAAGGTCAGTGGTGCAATTGTTAAGAGCAGGAGTAAGGAAGAAGCAAAGGCGTAGAAGGTAAGACAGAGAAATAAAAGGTGGTTGTAGAATTTGGGATATTATCGACGGTCCCATTAGAAAATTAAAAAAAAAAACTAAAAAATAGTAAAAAAATAATAATAATGTCCCAACAAAATATACATGTACATGATATGTTTGTCAACAAACAAGGAAAAAAAAAAGATAAATTAATACAGAAATAAAGAGGTTAGTCAGATTCTTATAATGTTAATCAAGTTGTGATTATCCTCTTTCTCTCTCTTTCTTTCTCTCTCCTCAATCAAAGGCTCAACCAACGGTACAACACAACTCAAAGGGAGGTTGTAATGAGAAATAATTGAATGTGTATTGAGAAATGATGATGTTTACGTGGGGTGGGTTTGTGGTGGAGCAGTAGTTCAGTTTGGTGGGTTTTGTTTTTTTGAGATTTCAATTCAACGGGAAAGGAGGGCTACAGCGACAGCAGAACAGACCATGTCGCTATCTGAATCGGATTGGCTGCCTTATCAATTCTTTACTATGAAAAATACATTCATTTTTTTTTCTGTTTATTTATTTATTGTTACAGATTCTTTCAAAGATTTTTTTGAGATTTTTTATTGGTTTGGGCAACTACTACTATAGAATGTGACAAAAAAAGGTTTTCACGTTTTGTAATTCTTGACTAATAATGTCTGAAAATAAAATATTGACTCATAATGAAAGATAAATTATATAGGTATGCAAAGTTGCATTATTGTAATTGTTAAGAGGGATTAAAGTTACGTTGATTTCTGAGAGCTTTTTACTGTAAAAATTTAAAACTGAAAATTTAAATCGGTAAAATGAATGAGCCTTAAATTACTGCTGGAAAAATCTCAAGCGGCCAATGAAGTTACTAACAAGTGGTCACTAGAGAAACCCAACTCCCACACAATACTCGAGTTTTGGCTCAGCCACTTCTCGTTCTCTATTGCGGGAGACAAATATCTCTAAAATCACCACTCCATCATGAAAGAGCGAGTTCAATCAATGCCAAAAAGAAAATTATTTTGATGTAAAAAGAAGTTTTGTACTGAGAGTAATTGTCTCTCGACTTGATATATTAATTAGACACCTACATTTCAATTAAAAAAAAATAAAAGAAAAAAGAGTTGTGGCCGCTTTGTATAAATGCAACAGTAAAAGTTAGTTACAAAAGCCTCCTTTTATTATTATCATTTTTTTCACAAAAACTTTTTTGTTTTTGCAAAACTTATAGGTCAATAAAGTACCGAGACAACTAATAGGGAGTTAGAATTAGATTGGGGTTTTTGTTGCGGTATCCGAAAATAAAACAACCAAGAGTAATAATTGTTCAGGTAAAAGAACCATCACAATCTAAAATCACCCCACCATCATGAAAGAGCGAGTTCAATCAATGCCAAAAAGAAAATTAAACCAATCCTCATATTTGTGTGAAAAGTAAACTCGAATTTAAGTATAAATAAATAGGTTTTATAAATACCGAAATTCTAATGAATCCCCTTCCTAATGCTTACTTAAGCATTGAAGTGCCGCTGATCGATACCCCAGTGGTGTTATTGATAAGAAGGTTATATACCGACAAATCAAGTATTTTTGAGTTTAAATACTTTTAATTTTGTAAATATTTTTATTAGTTTTATGTGTTTTTATATGTTTTTGTAGGAACCATTAATAAATGAGAAATTAGGCGAAAACAAGAAAAAAAATTAGAGTTTTGAAAGCTATTGGGACGAGCCATCGACGAGGGCAAGGAACCGTGCAAACCGCCGCGCAAAACGGGGCAAAAACACCTAAGAGCAGCCTTGGGCAGAAGTTGATGCGCGCCTGCGCCCGTTGTAGCGTGCGCTAGGAGCCCAGAGCGCAGGCAGTGTGCGCGGGTGTGCATCCTGCTGCGCAGCCGTGCCCCTCTTATGCTGAAACTAGGTTTTTAGGGGTTTTGTTTTTGGGGCTTTATCATTATAGTTGGCCATTTTTTACCCTTGGATAAGTTTAGATGAAGTTATTCTTCAATTTGGGGCATACTTAAGCAAGAGAAACCCTAGTTCCCAACTTGGAGAGGATGAGAGGCACAAAAAGTCATAGAGAGATAAGCTTAGAGTTGGAGATTCTTGAAGAATGCTTGGGAGAGATTCTTGAAGATTTGAAAACTTGAAGCTCATCTTTACAATAGTTTTCTCTTCACTCTCCCTTTTTATTGTAGTTTTTTAGTTTTGTTCTTAAATTGTGATTTTGGTTATGGATTTCTCTATGTTGAGCTAGACTTCATATTCTAGGGATTGATGTTGCTTTATTTGAACCATGCTTGATTATCTTATCAATTGTTATTTTAAATTCCATTTTAATTTATTTATGTTTCGCTATTTTTAATGTTTCTAATTTATGTAGCCAATGTGTTAGATAATTTTAGATTGTGATTTTCATGCTCGAGAGAGATTGATTTAATAGTCTGGAATTGAGAAAGATAGTCCAGGTTGTTGTGAGTCCGGGAGGAGATTGAAACTTAGATAATTTCGCTAAGAGTTTAGAATATTGTGAGACCGGAAGGTGATTAAGTCTTAGATCATCAACTAGCATTTCTATTTTTGTGAGGTCAGGGGGCGATCGGCATTTGATTTCTAATTTAATGGCTAAACTTAATGAGTGTATGAGTAAACGGGTTAGATAAGAATATTGATTTGGATATTCATGCATATGACTTCGTTTGATGCTCGAGAGTGGCAACAAGATTAGATTAGGTCCCTTGATTAATGAATTGAGTGAGATTGGCTAGCAATGGTTTGATAGGATGAACATAGGAATGATAAGGTGAAGTCAAGGTCCTAATACATTTGTGCATAGAGGTTTTCATATTTTATTTTGTTTTTGTATTTATATTTATTCTAGTTTTATTTTTATTTCATTGAGTTTGATTGTCTAGATAAAGTTGAGTTACGATAATCACAGTACTAATTGGCAATTTAATACCTAATTTCTGTGAAAATGATACTCACCCACCTTATACTTTCAAAATTTAACACCGTTCTCTTGGGGGCGAACAATTATCATGTTTCTAATACTAACTTAAGCATTGAAGTGTTATCAATCGGTACCCTAGTGGCGTTGTCATGTTTTACTTGTTCTTGGTGTTTCATCAAAGTGTTCATACGGTGTTCCCGATTAAAGTCTTCGTTTGGTTTAGATTACAAATTCATGAACAGTATTTTGATGTAAAAAGAAATTTTGTACTGAGAGTAATTGTCTCTCGACTTGATTAATACACCTACATTGCAATTAAAAAATTAAAAGGAAAAAGAGTTGTGGCCGCTTTGTATAAATGTAATAGTAAAAGTTAGTTACAAAAGCCTCCTTTTATTATTATCATTTTTTTCACAAAATTTTTTTTTGTTTTTGCAAAACTTAAAGGTCAATAAAGTACGAGACAACTAATAGGGAGTTAGAATTAGATTGGGGTTTTTGTTGCGGTATCCGAAAATAAAACAACCATGACTAATAATTGTTAAGGTAAAAGAACCATCACAATAAAAAAGAGTCAAATGTGAATAAGTGACTACCCGTTTATTTCACAAATTTGAGTTTAGAATTTGAGTTTTACTATAGTAAAAAACTATAAAAAACAGTCACATCTAACTTTTTTATTATAGTAAAAAACTCTCACATAAAGTCACATCTCAACTCAAATTAAAAACTCGAATCAGCAAACTAAACAGTGAGTTTTGCTATAGTCACATGTAACTTTTTTACTATAGTAAAAAATTTTCACATAAAGTCACATCTCAATTCGAATTAAAAACTCAAATCAACGAATTAAACGGATTCTAAAAATAACGTGGTCCCGGCCACGCTCATACTCGCAACCTCTGGCTCATAAGATCAGCACTCTAACCAACTAAGCTACGGGACCTTGGCTATTTGTCACTTCCATTTTTAAAATAAAGTATATTTTTGATTAGCAATTAGCGCGGAAAAAAAAAGACATTTCCTTACATGTTAAGATAATGAATTATTTGCATTCGTACCACCTAAATTTCAACGATACTTTTTCCGGTAGGCTTTTCGTAGAGCTCCTATTAATAGTGTTAATTTTTAGCTATTAGATCTTAATAAAAACATATTAAATTGAAAAAACATACAGTACATACATTTTAGATGTAAATGTAACGATTGAAAAATCTAAAAAGAAAGAAATTACATATGGTACTACCAAAAAAACTCTCAAGTTTTGAAGCAAAACTGACAAATGACCAATGAAGATCTTTTAGACAAAACTTATGGTAAGTGAAGCTTTTTTACCCTATCTATGGGCACTGCATTTTAACTATTAAATTAACTTTTCAGCGTAGACCTGTGACTAGAAGCAGTTATGCGTCGTGTGTTTTAAATTTTTAATATGGACACTAATAGATATGACCATTACAAAGTTAATTCAAGAATTTGTATGAATAGAGTTAAAAGGCCTCCTCCACTAAAAATATTAAAAAAAAAAGAAAAGAAAAGTGAAAGGGACATATAGAGCATTGCAAAGCATTTGGTGTTATTTTAGTTGGTTAATTATCTTTTATGTTAAGAAGTGAGACATGCCCTAAAAAAATGTAGTTGTCTAATCTGTCATCTTGTTTAATATTAAAGGAAAACAAGTAATTAATCAAATAGTAACTTCTTTTTTGTTGAGATCCAAATATCACTCTATCTTTGAAAATTCTTCTTTTTACCATACAAATGACAATGAATGTTAGTGATTAGGATTGATATTTTATTTTATTTTGTATTTTAATGAATCACACTATTTAAAATGTTGTATATATATATTTTAAAAATAAATTCTAACCTTTGAAACTTGTAAAAGGAAAACTTTTAATTTGTAAAGATTAAAAGCTCAACACATCAATCAATAAGGAACGAATGTTAAAATTTGGTAAATATTATACTTGGTTCCAAATTAAGCATATTATTGTGTTAGAGAATGAAAATACTACATTTTGGTGTTGGCATAGAAATTTGACGTTGTTTTTGGCCTTTCATATTGTGCGCGTCTGTTCTCTAGCATTTCTGCATTCT